CCATCCATCCATCCATCCATCCATCCATCCATCCATCCATCCATCCATCCATCATCCATCCATCCATCATCCATCCATCCATCCATCATCTATCCATCCATCATCCATCCATCCATCATCCATCCTTCCATCCATCTATCTATCCATCCATCCATCCATCCATCATCCATCCTTCCATCCATCTATCCTTCCATCCATCCATCCATCCATCCATCCATCCTTCCATCCATCCATCCATCCATCATCCATCCATCCATCATCCATCCATCCATCCATCATCTATCCATCCACCATCCATCCATCCATCATCCATCCTTCCATCCATCTATCTATCCATCCATCCATCCATCCATCATCCATCCTTCCATCCATCTATCCTTCCATCCATCCATCCATCCATCCATCCATCCTTCCATCCATCCATCCATCCATCATCCATCCATCCATCATCCATCCATCCATCCATCCATCCATCATCCATCCATCCATGTTTATTCCTTTTTCTATGGTCATGGTGGTCACAGGTGACCATATCCAGTGGTCACAGTGTGAGGGGCGGGGTACACCCTGGACAGATCACAGGTCCATCACAGGGCAGAATTAACATAATGTCACATATGAGACCATTTTAAGTAAAATGAACTCCGTATTTTTAAGTAGAACCAACATTTGGGTTTACAGTGTTCATTCTATCTACCAATAATTTTACATTAGCTCTGACAATTGAAGAAATAATTTAAAATTCATTTTTAACCTTTTTTACTTTTATCATTATTTGCATCTCTTTTTTATTTGTATTTGAGTTATTTATGGTTTTGTTTGAGTTTTGAGACCTCAGTTAACTGCTCTAGTATAAAAACAACTGTCACTTTGGTGAATGCTCATCATAATAAAGTAAGAAAAAGTAAAACTCTTTCAGCAGCAGAGCCTCCGAAGAGTTACAGTCTGTGTTTTGTGTGTTTTATATGTTTTGTATTCTTAATGTTATAAAAAGTCACTGTTGTTGTGCAGGGGAAATCTCCAACAGACTCACACATCAAACAAGTGTGCAGGAGGGTGATGCAAGGTAAGAGTTTATCTTCATCTTATAGTTTCGTTTCATTAGCAGCTGTTTGTGTTGTTTGATCAGAGATCCAGGCACTTAGTGTACCTCACTGCCTCCCATGTCACAGAGCAGCTGGCCCAGCTAGCAGCCAGCCTCACCAGACCTGAATCAGGCATCGCTGGGCTCCCCGGCCCTCCAGGTCCACCTGGACCACCAGGCCCTGCTGGAGAAAATGGATTTCCTGGCCACACTGGGTCAAGAGGTCTTCCTGGTCTAAAGGGTCCACCTGGGTTACTTGGTAACAAAGGACCTAAAGGTGAGATCCTGTTTGACAGCTTTACACCTGGATTTTTATTATCAGTAAAGAATTATTACAAAACTCTGCAGGCTTCTACTACAGAGAGCTCAATGACCACACTGTACTGAATCCTGCACTAAAATGCAACGTGAAGTTTATCTGTGGCTTTATATGCTTTTTGTATTAGAAAAGCAAAAAATAAAAATAAAATAAGTGAAGCTTAAAAGGTCAATATCATGTAAAATCAACTTTTTAGAGTTTTATATCATGTTATAATGTTATACTCTGATAAAAACATGTCCAAAGCCTTGCTCTGACTCATTCATCGTGTTTGAGAAATCCTGCAGTGTTTTTATGAAGCCATGCTGAGGAGCAAAACGACAGGTGGGGACCAGAAACACCTTTTGGTACCAGAAACCAGTGGTGGGATGTAACTAAGTACAAGTACTTTCTCGCTGTACTTAAGTACA